GCCCCGCCCCGCCCCGGCACGGCGCGCGCCGGGCGGGCGCCCCGCGCGCGGCCGTGCGGCACCTGGTGCGGGGGGAGCCCCGACGGCGCGGCCGCTCCGCACCGGGGGAACACAACACCCGCCGGCACCGGGCCCTGCCCGTCGCCTCCCCCCGCTGAGGATGCTCCGTCGCGCCGGCCAGGGGAAACATCCCTCTCCTTCCAGCCCCCGCTGGCCAAATCCCGGAGGCTCCGGTAAATGCCCTCCTTGGCCTCCCAGCGCCGGACGGCGGTAGCCTTTGGTCCGTCTGGGACCCTGCCCGAGGTATCGGTAAGGGAGCGCTGCCCGCCCCTGGACGGCCGTCGTGCACGGGTCCGGCCGCGAAGCCGCCGAGGGTGTGCCCTCGGTTTTAGAGCGTTAATCCCGGAGACACGCGGGAAGCCTGCGTGGGACCCGGTAGGTGAGACACGTTGGCGTTTGCAGCCGGGACAGCACATTGCCCCCGGAGCTGCCGCGTGTTCGGCAGGGTCCCGATCTCCCGCGAGCGAGTCCTTTTGTTGGGCCAACAATAGCTGCCCAAAGGTGGTGGAGAGGGAAATAGCTCCGTGCACGCATCTTAACTTCCCTTCCGCGCAGCCTCCCCTCCCGCCACCGCCGCCTGCCTGGAGAGGAGAAGTGGAGGTTTGCCCATGTGAATAGGCGTGTGGAGAACAAAGTGATGGGCACAGTATGAGGTAGATATGTTTTTTCAAAAGTGAATAACTCACGAGCCAAGGAGGGAGCGAGGGAGCCCAGCAGCTCAATGCTGAGCGGCGGTGACATGGAATGAGCAGCCTCACTAGTTTAGGAAGCTGGCTGGGCACGCTTGGCGCATGGCCACCTTCCACAAACAACTGGATGTTTTTAGACAAACGGAACGCTGATGGTTTGCTTTCTTTAAAAACAAACTGAGGCAAGCCTTTGCTATTTTTTTTTTTGGCAATTCTGTTTCAAAGGCAAAAGCTGCTGGACACCCCCAAACCAAATTGTCAATTTCTAACCACAATGAAAACGTTTACTTGGTAAGAAAGATGATAAGGAGCAGAAGTTAATACCTTGTTTCTGTATATTATCCACAAAGTTGCCAGACTATTTGTATCTAACAACAACTCTTATATACTCCTTTTGTATTACAACCCACACATAAATGCTTATGTCATGAATAGAATAAAAAGTCCTCTGAACCTCTGAACGGTGCTGTTTGCCAGCTAAACACCCAGCCCTCCAGCTTCTCTTTCAGTCTGCAGCAGGCACTGCGTGCTCCCTCACTGAGTCCCCGTGGCACAAGTGTGCTTTGCCAGCAGCCCTGTTGCACTCTCCTCCCCAGGGTTAAGCTTGAGCATTCCCCTTTTGAGCGCCGGTTGCTGTGGCTGGGAGCTGCTCCATGCAAGGACCGGAGGCCAAAGCTTGGAAATGAGAGGTAGCCTTGCTAAGCAATAGCCACTGACACACATTTCCAGAAGCCTTATGAGCTCCCAGGCATGGGGAGAACCATGATGGTGCAGCGTTGAAGTCTTAAACATCTCGCTCCAGGCTGATGGGCCATGGGGCTCTTGGGGCCTCCTTGACAGTAGGCCCCATCCTTCATCCCACAAGCCACGCAGTAGACCCTGGGCATGGAGGGGAGCACCATCCCATTAACATCTCATGTGGATGCGAGGCAACTGGTGCCCTGGAGGGGCCCTGGCCTCTGAGTACCCTGCACTGCTGGCTGGGCCAGGGCTGCTGTCAGGTGCTGGTGAGCTTCCCTTAGCAGTACTTCAGTGACTTCATGGAGCACTGGGGAGATCAGCCTGACACCCCAGCATGCTCCTTGGATGGTCAGCGCGGCTGGGAAACACTACCAGCTGCTTATTTTTCAAGAGCATGTTTTGTGAGCGCGTGCACGCTTTGAAACTGGAGGCATCTGAGACTCACTCGACAGTTTGCCTTTGAAAGGACACACACAAAAAGCTATTTTCCCCACCAACACCACTGCTCAGAGGGGGAAAAATGTTTCATTGAAATCCAGTGCTCTCCATATGCCTGTATCTGCTGTGAGTGCACACACACTCAGAGTCAAAGTCAAAGGCAAAGAGTGGTTTATGTCAGTGCTGGGTTTAGCTCTGCTCTCCCAGAATAAGATAAATGTAAGTGATGAAGAACTCCTGGGGCTGGCTGAACTCATTTTGTATTCAACACTGCCCGGCCCTTTTCTCTTCCCTTTCTCCCTCTCTTTGTATGTTCAAGCCTACTTGGGTTTCTTTTTTTCTTTTGTAGAAGTTGGTTCTTTTGAAGCGGTTCGAGGCACGCCCTGCTGCAAAGGGGACTTCATGGGAGTCGGAAACACAGGCACACCGGTCTGAAACACTTACTGTACAATAGCAGGAATGTAGGAAGCCTTGAAAATGAATCTGCTCTCTCTAAGAAAGTGTCAAAGCTTTCAGAGGAAAACAAACTGAACTTATCCCTGTATCTTTATGCAGATTTCCCCCTGATGCTCCTTTCCTAACCCCGAGCCTGGTTAAGGGCTGAGGCAGTGGTCAGGCACATATTAGTGTTACAGAAAAATGGGTTACAAAAGGGGGGAGAACAGACTTACAAAAAGCCTCCTCTGTCATTACAGCCAGAGACATTTTGAAAGCACACAAAGCACATGGGTCAGTCCTCCGTTTAATTGTACTCAACGGTCTAGTTGCTCATTCAATCCCATTTCAAGATCAGCTGGCTGCTCTGCAGGCATCACCACTGGTCAGGAAGTATTTTATTCCTTCTCTTCCCTTGCCCCACTTTCCCCACATTTTCTCCCATTTCCTTCCTTCCTTTTGGAAAGTGGGGGATGCACACAACCCTCTTTCTACCTCCCCTGGTCTTCAGGCAGTAAAACACACAAGTGGGTAGAGACAGGTTGTGAGTCTCACTGAGATGAGGTAATCTATGCTGAATCTCAACCACAACCTGGACAGGCCTCCAGCAGGAGGAGGGAAATGGGATTCCTGCCCACTTGTGGTTGTCTTCCACCCTGGAATGCCCAATCCCATCTAGAAGCTACTACAGTGAGCAACAACAAACACATAAAAGACAAGTACAGCTGAGTAATTTTTGGTCTCATCAACTGCATCATCAGAATAGTCACCCAAATGAAGTGTTTATATTTACATTATTCAGAGCAAGACTGCTTAAAGCAGAAGATGGTCCAGCAGCAAGTCTTTCTTAGTCTCCTCCTACGACCAGTGCCTGATGCTTTACTGTCAAATGTGTTTTAAGTAGACATTAGAAGTGATGACTGCAAGGAATGCAAAAGCCCAGGGAAACCACTGCAGACTTCAAGGTTTCTGAAACCTGCCCCTTTCCACTCAGGACAACCAGGATTATGGTGCTGCTGAAGAGAATGTGCCCTCATTTCTGCAGAGCCATCTTCCTGAGCAGATCATTACGATTACCCAATGTCATTTGCTTCAACTCCGAGGGTTGGTTAAACTAATTCCCATTTCTTGGTGACATTTACCCCCATAAATATCTAGTACAGACTTAAACTCTGGGGCTACCCCTGAGGACACTTGCTGTTGTGTACAGTGTTGTGTACAGTGTTGTGTACAGTTAATTCTAGTGTAAGTACCTCCACTGCCTCCAAGAGAAATGCAAAGCATTGCTGTAACAATATCTACCTCCTGCAGTCATTGTAAGGCATAGTGAATTCAGCTTTGTAATATGGGAATCTTATCAATGGAATTTCTACCTACATACACTTTGCCTATTTATTTAAATGGCTATAACTGTTACCGAGACTTTAGTCTATGCTCATCTTTTAAAAATAAAAAGCTTCATATTCAAGGAAGTGTCACTCATAAAACAATTTTCCTTTGGTCACTTTGTTTTAAACACCTCCTTTTATTACCCTTGGCTTGTCAAGGAGTTTCCACTAAAACTGCTAAATGCCCTCAGTCCCATCAAAGTCTTGTAGAGTTCAGGCACTTCTCAGCTGTGGGACACTTTGAAAAACAGGCCTCTAGAAAAAACAAACCAAACCATCGAGGCTCACCACACAGGGGTTTACAGGGCTGTTGCCATGGTCTGATGCATACTGCCATGGCCCCAGACAATCAGAGGACCTTGTTGGGAAGATGGCAAGCAGTTTTCTCCTGTCCTAAGTTGAAAAAATCTGACTGCAGAGGTCTGCATTGGCTTGGACACTACTTCTGACAGGAACTGTAACCCAGAGAGCGGGCAATAGCTCAGACAAGCAGCTTTTGGATTAGGATTTGTATAACTAAGCATAATCCAGAGCTAAGCTTTTGGAGGAAGAAGGGTTAATGACTGAAAAATATTTATACACGGCACAGAATTGGAAGCATTTCCTTGCAGTGAAAGACTGCTTTAATGTAATGGGAATACTAATATCAGACCCAAGGGATCTGCTTGTGTCAGAGGCTTTATACCTTCCCAATCCTTGAGCTCCTCACGTCTTTAACAGTAATGTTATTCTAGGTGTAGTTTGTTTGCCCATTGCAGCAGGAACAATTCTGCAGGGCTTGTGCGTGCTCACATGCACCACCCACAGGTCCATCATTTTAGTCACTCTTGAAATGAGCAGTAACAGAACACTAATGACCATCCCTACTTTATGAACAAGTGTTGTCTAGCACGCTTTCATTAGGCTGCTAATTGGGATATTTTACTAATATAAATCACTTAGCCAAGAAAATGACCAGTGCCATCAACAGTTTTACAGCATACGAAAAATACTTCATCTGCTTTAAGATCAGCAAATTAACATCAATCCATCCACAGAGATAAGACAACATATTCCCTTCAAATCACATCTGGTCACTTCCACTTGCTCTCACTGTCTCTTGCACAAGAGCCCAGGGAGCGTAAGTACTCCAGATTTGCTGGTACTAGATTTGGTTTTTTTAACTGATTGCCACAGCATTCCCTCTTTCACTCTCACTTTAGCCAGCACACACAGTACAGTTATAAAGGTTTGCTCTGGAAAAACATTCTAATCATAGGCTTGAGGTATAAACTCAAAAGTTAGCTTGAAGTCTCTCTGTGGCACAGTAATAACATATCAATGGACAAGTCAGGAAAAAATAACAGCTGACGTAAGCAAGAGGAAAAAAAGGAAAAAATCCAACATCTGAAACAGTCTGCCTTGCAACAGCAGCATTACTTTAGCAGTAACCTGGCAGCTTAGGGGAGCTGCTTCAATTGTACTGGGCCTTGATCATGTTCTCACATCCATCACCTACAAAGCTCTTGACAATTAGGCAGCCCTGTGCCTGAAGGAGGTTTCTTAGTTGTGGAAAAGCCAGCTTGGAATTTGAACCTTTCAGGGTCTCCTGAGGAGAGAAGGTCTCTAAAATGTAAATAGTAAATATTTACAGTTACACAAGCCAAAATAATGTGGAGAACAGTGGTCCCTCATAAGGGGAGAAAAGCAAGTGAATAGACCCAAGCTGGTGCTGCTCAGCAACTCAGATGTATTTCTTCACGAAAGAAACACTTGTCAGCCAAGAAAAAATACTACCTTGCCATCCATGGGAAATCCTTCCATTTAATCCCTGACAGCAAAGAGCAAAGGGGCTTCTAGGAACTATCCATTTCCAACACAGCAACAACAGAACTTTCAGGAACAACCTTTGTGAAAGGCTGTGAAAGCAAACATTTCTGAAGATATCTTCCTCTGGTCCTCTACCTTGTAGATTAGGATGTCCTAAGAATTTTTACTTGCTAAAAACTAGAACCGTTTTTTTTTCATGGGGTTAAGACAGAAAGACATACACAAAAATTAAGCGTTTAAGTGAATTAAGCTTTAGGGGCATCTCAAAATTCCAAGCTATGCAGAAGACTCTCTCCAGTCTATTAGACAACAGACAGCTTCAGCACAGCATTGCTTGCAGTGGCTGTGACAGTGTTCTCATCAGGTTTGTTCAAACACCAATGCACAGTTGCAGTCCTGTAGCTCTTGGGAAGCAGTTCTCCTGTGACAGTAGGCTTCCTGACTGCAGCAAGATCCATACTTCTGGCATCTGGCATACCCATGATCTGCAGACCTGCTTGGTCTGGAGCTGGAGGGAGACTTGTAAGCATTTTTATTTTCCAGGCATGCAGGATGCTTTGAACTCCATAAAAGTTTTAGAAACTCCCAAAGGGTGAAGCCTAGTGTTCATTTGCAGTGTGTAAGAACTCTGTTGAGGCAGAAGGTGAGGCTAGATACAGCTGATGGTCTGCTGAGGCTTGGGAGCTTCCATCAGGAACCCGCAGTTTTCAGTAGCCCAGGTGTATGGCTCTCACAGTCTGTGTGACAACCCCTACAGGGGTTCATAAGAGTTCAGTGTGAGAACCAGAGTTGTTCAGCTTTGGAAGGAGGGATGGTAGGAGTAAGAGAAGTAACAAGCATCCCACCCTGCCTGGTTCATGAAGCAGAAAACCCCACAACTTGCTTCAGCACAGTTGTTGCATCCACACTATGAGAAATTATCTCTGCTGTAGGCCTGTGTGCCTTTGCATCCTGGTGAGAGCAAGGGGAGCTGACATCCCTGGAAAGGCAGTACACAAGCAACATCCAGCAAAAGCTGCTTTGCTTAATAAAAGCCTGGTGTCTCCACAGGTCCTTGAGTGCCCTGCCACCGCCGTCTGGGATGGACACGAGGGCATTTCTCTCCTACCTCTCCCAGCTCGGGGCACCTGCCCTGGCAGTGGGCAGTGCTCGGTGGGCATCGCTCGCCTTTCGGGCTCACACAGCCCACGCCACGCGGCTGAAGGTGCCCCCAAAAGCTTCGCTCCGGCGAGACGGCGGTGAGGCCACCACCCCGTCCCCTCGGGTGGGGTGTGCGCCCCGGGGCCGCCCCGCTGCCGGCAGCAGGTTGAATATTGTAGGTGTGGGCGATTAAAGTGTCGCCGGCACAATGGCGGTCTGTGTCCCATTCTCCACGCCCGGGCTCCTCTTTGGAAAGCGCACACAAGAGGTGACACGGCGCTGGCCCTCGCCATTATCCCGACGGCATAGCGGCGCGGCCCGCCCCGTTTCCCGGGAAATGGGGCTCCTCCGGCCGCTGCGGGACCACCGCGGCCGCGCACGACTCCGCGACACTCCCATCCCCGCACCGGGGGAGAGGGGCACGGCGACGGGGGACGAAAAGCCGCTGGCGGCGCCCCCGAGGCACTTGTCGGGGACAACAGCCGCCCCCCCCACCCCGCGTCGAGGCACCGGCGGCACCGAGCGGGGCGCGGGCCGCGGGCGCCGCCGCCGTGCCGGAGCGGGAGGCGGTGCCACAGCGCCACCGCCCGGGCGGCGCCCGGAACGGCAGCACCGCCAGGGCAGAGCAGGGCCGCCGGTCCCGCCGCCAAAGCCGTCCAGTGTCGCCGCTCCTTCACCGCGGCTCTTCCCGCCGACTTCCCGCCTTTCCCCGCCCCTGCACCCCGGCTCCCTCCGCACAGATCCCCCGTGCGAGGCCGCCGGCAGCGGTGAGGAGCCGGATAGCGCTCTCGACGAGCAAACGCCGTGGATATCTGAGGCAGATGATGTGCGTGAGATGATGGGTAGCTGTAAATTCAAGCCGGGCTAAGACACAAGGACAAATTTAGCCCCTTCAGTCTGTCATTGCCTCAACCAAGCAATGTTTGAAAATTGACCAGATTAAAGCCAAAACTCACCATAAGGAAAAAATCCAGCTAGGTGTTACACAACTGTACTAGAAATAGTATGCTGTGTTTGGGGGCTTCCAACTCCAGCAGGAGAGTAATTAGTGCTAACGGTGGGTTTTTTTGTTATCTCTTCCACTTGTTTTTTTTGTGGGGGTTTTGTTTGTTTGTTTGTTTTAAATTTAATTTTATTTTTATTTTTGTCTATGCTTTAGCAAGTGACCTCCATTTACTCAGGAATATGAAGCGTGGGGTAAAGGATGGAGATGTGCATGCAAATGCACCATGCCTGATAGTTCCTTACATGGCTTCAACCCATGAAACAGAAATTCCTGTCTGTACTTCAGGTTGACTTCTATTTATGCTCCAGGAAATTATTATATGCCATGGATAATAACTGTCTGGCTGTAATGCCATGGATAATAATCCACTGGCTGTAAGTTTTGGAAGGAAAGCTGCTTGTATGTGTCAATACTTATGGAATAAATGTTTAAGAATATTTATGGATATGTTTTCCCTTTTCAAACAATTCATACAAGACACAACAGACTTAATATACATATGAATAGGCCTACATTTGTCAGATGATGTAGCATATCTTTAAAAGTGAAGATGACAGTGATATTTATTGAAAACAATAAATTTGTTTGTGAAAAGTCAGATTTCCAGGTGTATCCCCTCTAGTTCTACCTATCTTTTATCTTGATATAGGAAAAACAAAGATCCCTGTGTCCCGTATCAGCTATACCTTCTGTTTTGTATAGATAGACTGACAGGATAATTTTTAGTTATATAAAGGAGTTTGGGGAATTCTGTTTTGCTAGAGGGGGGAAGTAAGAAAACTTCATCTGCAATCTCCGAAACCTGGGGAGATATAAAACCAATCCAAGCAACAGCAGATATTATTCAGAAAGGTCTGTAAAAGTTAGCGCAAGACAAACCAGTCCAGTGTTGCCTGAGCACTATTTCATAAAGTAACATGCTTTTCTGTTACACTACATCAATTTCTTGCTGTGTTAGCTGTCATGCCACAGAGACTACTCCTTAAAAATGCGTCAGATAGCAGGAGTAGCAAGTAACCACATTATTTGCATTGTTCACAGTATTTGCTTTCTTTCTCCTGTTCCCCCGTGTGTAAGGAAAAGAATTAATTAGTAACAACATGGGTCAGCTGTGATTACTCTTAC